AATGCTGGTGTTTTAAAAACATTGTCTGCACTGTAACTGATGACCAGCTGTCTGTTCCACACTTTTTAACTGATTGATGTATTTTTAATTATTCTATTTACATGAGCACTTCATTTTAAAAACTTGTAACAAGTAAAATATGTAAATAAAATGTTTTTGTAAACATCCATTCATTTTCTAACAAATACATGTGGATGGAGGGTGAGGAGGGGAGGGAAGAGGGTAATGAGGGGGAGGGGTTAAGGTGTAAGGGAGTGGGTGGAGTTGGGATGAGAGGAAGTTTCACTCTGTTCTTTTTCAAAGTCTGAATCTCAAACAACTCAACAATCCAATATTATTCAAATCAGAATAAGCTGTTCTGTAACATACCTCCCGCTCAATGCTCTGCTGGATCATGAGTTTTATCATGTCCTACAGCTGGATTTCCTTTTGGAGCATCTCCTCGTGCTTGATGCACCACCTCTCATCTGCGTCTCTCAGTTGTTTTTGCAGCTCCTCTATTTTCCGGGACCTGGCCTCATTTTCAAGGATGCAGTCCTCCAAGTTCTCCTGCAGAGCCTCACATTTAGTTTTCCACTTGTGTTGGATCTTCTTGTTCTTAGCCTGCTCAAGCTCCAGATTTGCTCGACCACCGTCTTCCTCTTTTCTCCCCAGGAAGTAAAGTTTGCCTTAAACTCTGTCCTGCTTAGAAAAGTCCTACCTCATTTTCTGAGCTGTCGATCCTATCCATGTCGATAAACAGGTGCTGCAGTGTAGTAATAAGGTTTCTGTAGAGTATTTTCTTTTGTAGCAGTGTACAAAAGTTGTTGTGGAGTATTATTTTGCGAAGGTCGAAGGTTGCAGGAAAGTATGTCAATGTGGCGGTGGGGTATGGTTAGGGCGCCAACTGCTGGACAACAGGGAGGAGTGGCTCAGCCGATGATCCGACAGCTGTGCAGAATCAGGTGATCAGGCAATCAATAAGAGCATGCTGGTAACCTGGTTCTGTTCTTTCTCTTGTAGTAAGCTGGCGTCCCGAGACCGGAGCAGCGAGCAGATGTGTGTGTGTGTGGGTTGAGAGACCTGAGTAAATATATGTGTAAGGTTGCCAGAATAGGCAACCGGAATAAAGACATTGCAAACGCCATCCTCTCCTCCACAGTCAAGTAAGTGTGTGCTTCCACTGACGAAAGAGGTGAGCTAATTGGCTATGATCTATAGTCTATTCTACAACACACACTCATCCTCCTATGATTCAATTCAATTCAATTCAATTTTATTTGTATAGCTCGTATAGCTTGTATAGCTACAACTCCAAGGTTCCTCACAGTGGAGCTGGAGGCCAAACTGATACCATCCAAGGTAACTATCTGTTCAGAGAGTGTTTCTCTAAGATGTTTAGGGCCAATTAGAACAACCTCAGGTTTGTCTGAGTTTAGAAGTAAGAAGTTTTGGGTCATCCAGGCCTTGATGTTCTTGAGACATTCCTGAAGTTGAACTAAATGATTAGATTCATCAGGCTTCATAGAAATGTACAGCTGGGTGTCGTCTGCGTAACAATGGTAGTGTATGTGGTGCTTTCTCATGATGTTTCCTAAGGGGAGCATATTTAAGCTGAAGAGCATCGGTCCAAGGACAGAACCTTGTGGAGCTACATGACTAACTTGCATGTGCATGGAGGGGTCATTGTTGTTGTTAACAAATTGAAATCTATCTGATAAATATGATTTTAACCAGTCTAGTGCAGTTCCTCTGATCCCTATATGTTGTTCTAGTCTCTGTAACAGGATCTTATGATCTATTGTGTCAAATGCTGCACTTAGATCCAACAGGACGATTACAGAGACAAGTCCTTCATCTGAAGCCTTGAGAAGGTCATTAGTGACTTTCAATAGTGCTGTTTCTGTGCTGTGATGGATTCTAAAATCCTGACTGGAATTTCTCCAGCAAACCGTTACTATCTAAGTAACCACACAACTGGTTAGCAACTGCCTTTTCTAAGATTTTTAAAATGAAGGGCAGGTTTGATATGGGTCTATAGTTAGCTAAAACCTCTGGATCAAGTGTAAGCATTTTAAGCAGAGGTTTAATAACAGCGACCTTTAAAGCTTGAGGTACATAGCTTGTTAACAAAGACATGTTAATCTGATATAATATGGAACTGTCAATCAGGGGGAAAATTTCCTTAAAAAGTCCAGAGTCTAACTGACTGTTGGTTTACATGATGAAACTAATGAGGTCAGTTCAGGAAGGTCAATAGAATAAAATTGGTTCAAACATAAATCTGGTTCTATGGTTTCAGGACCAGGCAATGTTTCTATGTATGTGCTATTCATTGGAAGGAGGTGGTGGATTGTATCCCTGGTGGTTATAATTTTATTTGTAAAGAAGCTCATGAAATCATTGCTTCTCAGAGTTAGAGGAATTGATGGGTCAGTAGAGGTGTGACTTTCTGTCAGCCTGGCTACAGAGCTGAAGAGGAACCTGGGGTTGTTCTTATTTTCTTTTATTAATAATGAATAATAAGAAGTTCTGGCATTTCTAAGTGCTTTCTTGTAACATATCAAGCTATCCTTCCAGGCTAGATGAAAGTCATGTTTATTGTTGGAACGCCACTTCCTCTCTAGTTTCTGCGATGTCTGTTTTACAACACATGTCTGAGAATTATACCACGGAGCTGATCTCCTCTGATTTGCCTTCTTCTTTTTTAGAGGGGCGACAGCGTCGAGGATTGTTTTTAATGAAGCTGCTGTACGATTAACTAAGTTATCAACTAGTGTGGGGGTACTTTTCTGTATTGTACTGACACATGGCTGAGAGCTAAGTGTAGACGGAAGCAGTTCTTTAAATTCATTCACAGTTTTATCAGATAAACATCGACTATAATAGAATTTCTGTCCAGAATCTGTGTAATTAGTAATTGTAAATTCAAATGTAATTAAAAAATGGTCGGACAGAAGAGGGTTCTTTTGAAAAATTATTACATTTTCAATGTCTATGCCATATGTCAGAACAAGATCAAGAGTGTGATTCCGACAGTGGGTGGGTTTATTCACATGTTGAATGAAACCAATCGCGTCTTTTATTGATTTGAAAGCTGAACTAAGGCTGTCGTTGGCAACATCTACATGAATGTTGAAATCACCTACTATAATTATTTTATCTGTCCTAAGAACTAGTTCTGATAGAAATTTTGAGAATTCAGATAGAAATTCTGAGTAAGGGGCAGGCGGACGATATATGATAACTAGATGAATTGGTTTATGTGATTTCAGGTTTGGATGGATGAGGCTGATTATAAGATTTTCAAAGTAGTTATAACTTTATTTTGGTAGAGGGTTGACAGATAGGTTAGATTTAGAGATTGCTGCAACCCCTCCACCTCTGCCTGTGCTTCGAGGAGTATGAGTGACCTCCGACTGACGTAGTCGGAGGTCATCATGAATAACGATCTTACTGTACTTACTCTTACCCTGAGCCAGCATTTTAAAATAGGACTCTATGTCGCCCGCTCTGGCCCCAGGAAAACATTTAATTATGGTCGCTGGTGTCGCTAACTTCACATTTCTCAGAATAGAGTCGCCAATAACCAGAGTTTGTTGCTCAGCGGGTGTGTCGCTGACTGGGGAAAATTTATTAGAGACATGAACATGGTGGTGGTGATCTGGGAGCTTCAGTTTAGGGCTACGCTTCTTATTTCGCACAGTCACCCAGCCGACCTGGTTTCCCGGCTGCTCGGGAGCTGCTAGGGGGGCTGGAGAAGCTACAGCTATTATGCTCACACCCGCTACCGGGGACTGGCTAATTACATAAGCTAAAGATTTAGTCTCCATGGTGCAGAGCTGCGATTCAAAATGACTAATCCTCGCCTCCATCCTGGCAAATAGGTTACATTTAACACATACCGTTATCGCTAAAAGAGGCAGAGGAGTAACTAAACAACAAGCACACTGAGCAGGAGAGTGAGAGTGAGAAGCCATTGCTAGCTGCTAATGCTAAGGTGCTAAGCTAACACGGG